GGCTGTAGGTTCAATTCCTACCAGAGGACCTTGTGCTGCATTTTTCGCAGTCGTTCCTGGTTAGGTCTTAAAATGTATATATTCTCACCTGGATTACAAACCCTAACATTCTAATATTAATTCCACCAAGTGAAGTGCCAAGAATCCAAATTATTGAAGTCCACCTTATCACAACCCGCACACCCGATAACCTAAATATACATAAACTTACGGTTCAAGCTCAACAGCTGGCCTCTGTAGCTCAGTTGGTTAGAGCGCTGCACTGGAATCGCAGGGCCGTAGGTTCAATTCCTACCAGAGGACCTTGTGCTGCATTTTTCGCAGTCGTTCCTGGTTAGGTCTTAAAATGTATATATTCTCACTTGGATTACAAACCCTAACATTCTAACATTTGAAATTAAGGATTTGGAGGTTTTGCGATCACTGATAACTTGATAATAATATAAAACAAAACACTTCTATCTGCAACTCTTACTATCACTGATAACTTGATAACAATTTAAACCAGTCAAGTTGTAGTTTAAATAGAGAATAATACATGGGTGCACGAAATACCAGATTTATTTCGAGTGTTGAACATGACTGCGCAGCGAACAAGTGAGCGCATCGAACGAGTGAGATGTCATGTTCAACACGAAAAATAAATCTGGTATTCCAACCACCCATGTATGTTTCTATTTATTATATAAAGGACAGTCTTTGAAAAGCGATAATTTTTAGAGAAAAGCGATAATTGAAAAGGCGATAATTTTCACATGTGAGATTAACATGAATAATTTCACATGTGAGATTATCATTTTTATCAGTGCTCGAAATCTCTTTAAAATACTCATTAATAATTCATAAACCTTGTGGCAAATCATGTCAGCCATAATATGTCGCGTGGAGTAACTTTATATCTGATAAAACACATGTGGCATTATATAATTGTTCATCTTAATTAGCATGATTATACTATGGTTCATCCTAATTAGTATTCTTTTGTGATCGTATTTTAAGCTATTCAAAACACTCGTTGTCGTGTTTTATCAGATATATAACGCTTGGCTGCGCCTCGCGTTATATATCTGATAAAACACTCCTACTCGTGTTTTAAATAGTACATAAAACACTATACTTTATATAATAAAAATTCATAAATTTGAACCACGCTAGAGCATGACAACAGCAAAATGCTCTGTAGTATGATGCACAAAATTTTGGGAGATGAAATACACGAACAATAAATCAGAGAGTGATTGCTTGAAACTCACTGGGGGGGGGGGGTGCAACACCCCTGATAATTGCTCCTGAGGAATTTCAGGTAGATTTCCAGTGCACTTTTAGGTAAATTTAAGTAGATTTGCAGAAGATTTTCAGGGGAATTCAGGTGATTCTCAGGACATGAGAAAGTAAATTTGGAAAACAACTGTATTTTCGGAAAAATTATTATATGTCCTGAAAATTTTTTGTACATCTGGAAACATTTTGGTAACCTCCCCCCCCCCCCTCTATCTAACCTCACACACACCCTGAGACGAAGTGCTCGCAACGGCACTGAGTATACATCTTTTGAAAACAGGCGAGGGGTTATTCCATGCATGTATTTCTAGTTTATACCTATGAAATGTCACTTGGGATCTGTGTGGAAAAATATTGCAACACAAAAGATCTCTCGAAGTATTAAACAACAAAAAGTACTTTCTAATAAAATCAATAAAATCATAATTGGCAGTAAATCATTACTATGTTCTACATTAAAACTTATTTTATTCCATTTCTGCTTCGATTTGCTTTGATCCAGCTCCTCGTAGCTGGTAAGTTTCCTCCCATTTAGATGTCTTCGTACGACACTCTTCTCTCGTGAGCTGGTGTAACATCATCTGAGTCTTGCTTTGCTAGTTTCTGATAGGTACGGATTTCCGTTGTATTTCTTCCTTTCACATCAAGCTCAGTATGAACAGGAGTTTCTGGCGATAATTTGGGCTCTTCACAGGTTTCATTTTGACCTGATGTTTCGTGTTGTGCTTCCTCTGGAACTGGTATTATGTATGTGTCAATGATGTCAACCTCCTTTGAACGTGCCTGATAATCACCATCGCCTGTCGCCCCCGTTTTCAAGGTTTCCGGTCGTTTATTACGTTCAGTGTGTCCAGAAGCCTTTTGTGCATTTGATGGCACTTCAACCTCTTCGTGATCTGATGTCCTGTCTTTAGAAACAAAAGATTAAATACCCTGGTCAAACAAGAATAAGAGTTGATAAGAGTTGGCCAGTGAGAGTCTGCAGTGAAAACAACAATTACATGAAAGTTGATAAGAGTTGGCCAGTGAGAGTCTGCAGTGACAACAACAATTGCATGATAAGAGTTGATAAGAGTTGGCCAGTGAGTGTCTACAGTGAGAACAACAATTGCATGAGAGTTGATAAGAGTTGGCCAGTGAGAGTCTGCAGTGAGAACAACAATTGCGTGAGAGTTGATAAGAGTTGGCCAGTGAGAGTCTGCAGTGAGAACAACAATTGCATGAGAGTTGATAAGAGTTGGCCAGTGTGAGTCTGCAGTGAGAACAACAATTGCATGAGAGTTGATAAGTATTGGCCAGTAAGGGTCTGCGGTGAAAACAACAATTGCATGAGAGTTAATAAGAGTTGGCCAGTGAGAGTCTGCAGTGAGAACAACAAATGCACGAGAGTTGATAAGAGTTGGCCAGTGAGAGTCTGCTGTGAAAACAACAATTGCATGAGAGTTGGACAGTGAGAATCTACAGTGAGAACAACAATTGCATGAGAGTTGATGGATATTACAGCACGTAGCGGGAATTCTCATCAACTTTCAGCAAAATTTGAACCAGTTGAACAATGACGAGAGTTAACTGGATATTACCAAGCGTAACAAAAACTCTCATGAACTCTACTCAAAATTTGAACCAGCTGAACACTAATGAGAGTTAACTGGATATTACTAATGAGAGTTAACTGGATATTACCAAGCACAACAAAAACTCTCATGAACTCTACTCAAAATTTGAACCAGCTGAACACTGATGAGAGTTAACTGGATATTACCAAGCACAGCAAAAACTCTCATCAACTTTCAGCAAAATTTGAACCAACTGAACAATGACGAAAGTTAACTGGATATTACCAAGCGCTCTCATGAAGAGTACTCAAAATTTGAACCAGATCAAAGTTGATGAAATTGCACGAGAGTCGACGAGAGTTGGCGGGAAAACACGAGCGAGAGTTTGGACCCTCATTATCTCTTATCAACTTTCATCGTCGTTTTACAGTGAAAACAATTATCAAGACGGGTTTCTTTTCAACCAAGATATATTACATTTCTTCTTAGAACGAGCAAATATTATACATACCAAATTATGGTTAGTGGAATTTTAAACAAATTACCACAGATTATTTATTAATAATTGTGAAACGCATTAATAATTCATGAAGAAAACACAAAAGAAAACATGAGCGTGAAGGAGTTTGCATACCTGATACAGAATCATGCTGATTTACATAACATTAAGTTCACCAAATTATATCATTCATTTATTTTAAATTGTTTGGAGAATACGAATGTTGTCATCGAGACGTTACACAAGCTATTTACACTGCATTCACGTCCGTGTTGTATTTATTTATTTATTTAAAAATTCGCCCTATTTACATAATTAAGATAGAATATACAGTATAACGTCAGTTGAACACTAGAGCTAGGAGCCTTTAAGAAACTTTGAGAAGCTTTTAGTGCAAGGCCCCTATTACAGCAAATATTAAATCCAAACGATAGCTATATGTCAGTTAATATATAGTACATAAAATTTTAAAGAAAGTTGTGATATAGTTTTACAATAATTGCTGACGCAGCGAGCGAGCCTGAAGCGAGCGAGCATGTCAGCAGTTCTAATTCGTATTGGGCTCTGAAAGTAAGATTTCACTTCCGTTTCTCCGACCAGAATGCACTGCTGTTAACCGACCAGAATGCATTGCTGTTAGCCGACCAGAATGCTTTGCATGCATGATGCTATAAATACGGGGAATCTCATAGTCAGTTTATATAAGCCGGTAGCGATGCAGTTCTTTTGGTGTATTTTGTATTTCATTGTATGCCTGGTCTGTTGATTGCTGGCTGCTCTTACACTATATATACTGAATTTGTTTATTACAAACAATTTATAACGCTTAGAAAGCGAATTTATGCGTTTGCATGTGCTCTTCGCCTTATTTAAATCAACATTGTATTTGCACGTCTGAAAGCGTTCATTCCAAGATTAAAAGCGAATAAATTAATCAATTATTGTCCATCAGTTTCACTTTGCTATAATTTAAGGCTTTTGGTTGTAGACCTTTTGTTTGAATATGATTTGACAATAAGGTAATTGACACGGAGACATGGTATGAACAGTCCGGCAACTGCCAAATATGTTTATAACATGGCGTTTTAAAAGAACGATGCTTTGCGTGCTATTTCGTGGGTTAATTAAATTTCTTTGGCTGACAAAAAGCAACTACACTATACTCAGTGGATACGCATTGTTTATGCATGCATGCAACGCAACCAGGGGCAGGTCAGTAGGATCGTACATGGGATTGAAGTATGTGCATTGAATATTTTTTATAATTGATCATGTTTTTGTTATGTTAGGCATGTGTCGAAACATTAAAAACAATGTCCTCAACTCGACAGGGTGCATAAAAAAACCTAGAAACCTCTGAAGTACAGTACAATGTTTTTAGAATTTGCATGATTCAGAACTAATTGATCCCAAGCATGCGTAAACACAATAGTTGACCCATTCGCAGCCGAATTGATAATTAGTTTTTTGCGTTACAAATAACTTTTTGGTTTTCTAATTTCTATCAACGCGGTTAGTTAGAATGTATTTTCAAATCCCAGGAGCAAAATAAGTAACACATACATTGAAATGCTGGTAAGCAGCAGAATTATGCAAATTATAGTGTTTGCAGGTTTTTTGATACACCCTGTAGTTTTCGAAGTAACGTGGCTTTAATTTGACGTCCTTGAATGCAAGTTTTTGTTGACCATGTTGTTCGATATTCAGTTCTTAAACGATCGACATCGCTTCAGTAAAATCAAAAGAAAGGCAATTTGGCGAAGAAGTATATTCAAGCGAAGTAAAATATCAGCTAAGCACTTTACTTTACTCTTTCTTTAGCGTGGTTCACATATATGCCTGCGGTATACCTGCGCTATCATTGTTCACAGCTTTTCAGAGCAGTTGTTGTCAATAGCTCGCCGACACACCGCAGGTGCAAGTAGATATATGTGAACCGGACTTTTATGTTTACTAAAACATTCGAGCTGCGCTCACGTGTTTTATATCTGATAAAACACTCCTGCTCGCGTTTTAAATAGTTCATACCAGACAGTCCGCACTCACTGACACTGTACAGTTCTGGCCTTGCGATAGCTTGAAGTATATGTATGGTCTTTAATAGTGATACAGTGTATCGTTGTTGTGTAGCATTGAATAATCTGTGTGCTCTTAAAATAATTATTGGCTGATATTGTGGTCTATAGTGAAAAGGTTCCAAAAATGGGTGCAAGTTTCCATACTAATTGTCGTTATGATGTCATAGATTTTAGAGCAACGGTAGGATAGAAAGGTTAAAAAAAGTTTATGGTTAGATTCTCATGTTTCGCGCACAATAAAGCTAGGGTTAGGGATGGGTTGTGATTACGGTCAAGATCAAAGATATATATTTGTGACCGAAACAAGGTTTATTCATATTTACAATAATGACGTCACAACGATTAAGTTAGTGTTGAGCTTACTGTCAGTTACGATGGGTTAGGAGCTCACGAGATTTTATTTATACTTGGGTGCGTTGTTAATTTGGAAAGATGAGGCCGTTTTTTATATATCGTCAAATTAAGGAGCAAGTCAGCATTTATACTACTGATAAGTATACTAGTATAATCCTAAAGTGTAATCCTATTAACTACCTGAAGATGGAGTAAATCTCCGAAACGTCGTTTGTTAATGAAATAAACATTTAAAAAAAGTCTTACTGTGGTCTATATATTGAACACAAAATATGCTAGTATAGATATACAACAAATACGAAGTTAGGAGTGCCTGATGATGGAAGCATTGTTTTAGACGACCATGAATAATATAATTCTGTATTATTATTCTTGTAGTTGATAATAAATTTTAGCTTGCTTTTTGAACGATTGGTAAAATTTAATGGATTTTAAATCTTCGTTCAAATTATTCCAAATATCTGCTCCTTTATTGGCGAGAGTATGTTTCATGTAATTAGTTCGGGTGTAGGTTTTATCATAGTTAATAGAAATAAACATGGTTAGGAAGGCCGGTAAACTTCAAAGAATTTTCTATTCAAACTTTGTCTGATGTTGAAATGTAATTCCGAGTGCACACATCTTTTGTCTTGCGTTGATTAATATTCAAATATTACAGTTCAGCAATTGAAACTAAGGTTTTTATTGGGTAATTAATCGACTCATTATACAGAATCCGAGTGCACAAATTTCCATAAACTTGGACAAAAACGTAGAACAATGACTTTTGTCAAGCTTCCTAACCATTTTTATTTTCTACTAACTATGGTTTTATGTAGTTTCTTGGAACTTCTAGTATTGTGATGATGAATTTCATTATTATTTTTGAAAAAATTGTTGAAATTTCGGGCATATTGTTCATGTTGTAAAATTGAAACATAAATAAACTGGTCAAATAATAATTTATTTTGTAAATATCTAATAGATTTAATTTTTTGAATAATGGTTCCGCGTGCTCAGAATACGGTTTGAAAGTGATTAGACGCACAATCTTCTTTTTTGGGCACTCATCAATTTTTGCAATTTTGAAGGGTATGTGTTACCCCAAGCTAAATTAGCGTAAGTGAGATAAGGATAGACAAGGGCATAGTAAAGCAATTTTAATGTCTTTTGATTCGTATAATGCCGAATTTTAGAAATAATTCCGGTTGATTTAATTTTTTTTTTAAACTGAACCAATGTGATTATTCCATGTGAGTGTTTCATCGATTAGAACACCCAAGAATTTTGTACATTTCACTTGTTCGATCGACTGATCCTTTATTTTAATATCAATTTCAGTTGGTTGCTTTTTATTGCGTGCTGCGAAAAGGATCCATTTTGTTTTAGTTGTATTTAATAGAGAGTTTATTTGTGTTAAACCATTTAAGTATTTCATCCATCTCTCTTTGCATTGTTTCTTTTGCTATATTAATGCTGGAATTAGAATAGAATGCGTTTGTATCATCTGCAAACAGGACAAATGAAACAACATCACTGCAGTTTTGTATGTCATTTATGTATATAATAAAAAAAGTAATGACCCAAGAACAGATACTTGGGGAACACCAGTTGTAATTTTCATTTCTTTAGAATTTTCCTGCTTGAATGTCAGAATCTGCTTTCTATTCATTAAATAGTTTTTGAACCACGTTAAAGCAAGCCCTCTTACTCCATAATGCTCCATCTTTTTTAATAAAATATCGTGATCGACGGTATCAAAAGCTTTTGATAGGTCAAAAAAAATTCCTATTGTATATTTACCTTCATCCATTGCTTTGGTAATTTTGCTAACAAGATTTACAATTGCTATTTCTGTTGATTTATTACGCCTAAAACCATATTGGTTTTCTGTTAGTATTTTGTTTTTCTCAATAAAACTAATTAGTTTTTTGTACATAAGTTTCTCTAATAGTTTAGAGAAACACGTCAGGACGGAAATAGGTCTGTAATTTTCAAATATTTGTTTATCACCCGCTTTAAAAATAGGAGTAACCAGGGCCAACTTTAACTGCTCAGGGATAAAACCTGTTGCGAAACTCAAGTTGAATATATGGGTAAGTGGTTGACTAATGTTTGTTGCGACAGTTTTAATAATTTTGGCATTGATTTCGTCATACCCAGGGCTTTTATTGTCTTTCAATTTAAGTACTTTACTTATCATTTCGTTTTCAGTTATTGGATTTAGAAACATACTGTTCATGAAGTTTCCCGTCAACCTCGTTCCCAGGGCTTCAGTGTGAGGACGAGGCGAGACACGAGGAAGCCCTGGTTTGGGCCGGTCTATTTTGCATTCTGATTGGCTAACACCATATTGTCTAAAAATAACTGAACTTGACAGTTGACAATAACAATTCAACATTTGTATTTTTATGATTCTTGTGTGTGCGAGTATATGTTTTGCAAAATAATCTTTCAAAGTAAGACGTTTTCCCGACTGCATGATTTACTTTCGCCTCGGCCGGTTACAAAACTCAAAAGCCGTGTCGAAGTGGACTGTGATGTTTCCTGACAAAACAAGAAACGTCTACTATTATTTAAGCTGTAGTTTTGCTTGTACAGTATTTATTAGTGCAGATGTCTGATGAAATACTACGCGTATTGCATTGTAGTAATATTTTAATTTACAATATTCTGTACTGACAAATAAAAGCAAGACAAATTAAACAATTAAATAAAACTACTAAATTAATTTAGGCCCTGTTTACTTAATAGCTTTACGCCTAGGCCGATTTAGTCTCTACAAGATTCGCACGCCACCGAGTTTTACAGTTTCAGAATACCCCGAGTACTTGAAAATTGCGATTATACGATAAAATAAAACAAAGATTGTGAAGGGGATAAAATTTGTAGGCAAGCATCGCTCCTGCATGAACGGCAAGTGTTGGTGTCCGGGCGAAACAAGCGCATCCGTATATTCCTGTACAGCATAAACAGGTTACGCGAGGTTTTATATTTGTGTTTATTTATATTGAACTAAGTCAGATCTATAAGAGCATATTTAGACTAAATATTAATTATAGCAATAGCCATATTGTTCAAGACGAGAGAAAGTAATTTCGTGTGAATCATCACTTGCATGGAGACGCCTAGATGCAGCTTGGATGCAGTTTGCCTGTAGTTGAAAATCTCCAGAAATATCGGTATATCTTAGAAAACATAGACGGGATCTTCAGAGATTTTAGCTGATTCGTGCCAAACTTCGCTCTACACATAAATAACATCGATTGAGAAGTCTTTTGGCTATTTATTTGTTTCGAAGACTAGTATATTTCATTAAAGAATATCTCGCCACTCCTTGACGAGTAGCTGTCAAATACTGCCATTTTTTGTCGCCACGTGACCGGCCCAGACTAGGGCTTCCTCGTGTCTCGCCTCGTCCTCACACTGAAGCCCTGGGAACGAGGTTGGTTTCCCGTAAGATATTTTTGAACTGAAGTCTCCAAATTTCCATTTATTTTGCTGGTCAATTGTGGTCCAATATTTATAAAATATTCATTACATTTATCAGCGATTTTTGAAAGCTTTGTTATTGATTCGCCCGAGTTTTTTGCAATGAATTTGTTGGGTAATTCTTTAGTTTTTACATTTTTATTTAATAGTGTATTAATAGTCTTCCATGTCATTTTAGTATCGTTTTTATATTTTATGAATAATTCTTCATAGTGTAGTTTTTTTGGAAATTTTAATTACATGTTTCAACTTATTTTTAAATCTTTTATAGTTTTTTTCATTTCGTTCAGTAGGATTTTTTAGAAATTTCTTAAAAAGTGAGTTTTTAGTTTGTACAGATTTACAGATGGACATTGTCATCCACGGACTTTTAACTGTATTAATTTTTCTCTGATTAATTTTCTTAAGTGGAAAACTAGCGTCATAATTATCTTTAAATATATTAAGGAAATTGTTAAATGAAACTCCAGCATTAGAGTTTGATAGTACATTTTCCCAAGATATAGATTTAATCCTATCCACAAATTTTAATTGGTTAGTTCTATTTATCATTTTCCTATATTTTATGTTAGTGTGCTCTATTTTTGGTATTTTCTTTGTTTACTCCACATATATGAAATATAGGTAAATGATCTGAGATGTCACTAGAAATTAAACCATTTTGACTGTAATTAATTTTCTCTAGGTCATTCGAAAATATATTATCATTTAGAGTCGCAGTGTGTTGAGTAATTCTTGTAGGCATTGTAATTAGGGAAAATAGAACGATATAAAAAGAGTTTGTGTAAGTCTATTTGCAAAATCACACGTTTCATTTTTTAGCATATCAACGTTAAAGTCATCCATGAGAAGGCACGTTTTATTCTCTTTGTCAATTTTGGACAATGTTTCATTCAGTGTTCTTTCAAACTCATCAAATTTACTGTTTGGTGGTCTATAAATCACCCCAACAATAATATTTTTACTAACTTTTGTGGGTATTTCAATAAACACATGCTCAATGATGTCCTCTTTAGTGGCATTCAGATCATTTCTAGTTTTATATTTAAGATGTTGTGAAATATAAATACCCACTCCACCACCTTTTTTTAAGTTTTCTGCATGTTTACATTCACAAAATCATAGTTTATTAATGAGAAATTATCTAGATTATCATCATGAAGTTATGTCTCAGTTAATCCAATAACTACAAAATTAGTATTCAAAGATCCCAGCATGTGATTGAACAAGTCAAATTTATTTGATATGCTTCTTATGTTTAAGTGCATTAATTTGAAATAATCCTCAATATTTTTCCAGCAAATCTTTCTGCAAATTCGACTCATTTCTTTTTAAATTAATAGACTTGCGGCGTCTGCGAGTCTTAAGTCGCTAAACGGATTATATTTCAGTCCTTCTAGTCTATCCCTTTCTCTTTCGCTTATATGTCTGTTGTTTTTAACAGTAAACTCATAGTCTTCATCATTTAGTGATTGGAACGGCGACGATTCATTTAAACATATATGACATATTTCAGTTTCCTTTGCATCTAGGCAAAGTTTGTTTTGGCGCAATTCTGAGACACATGGAGCCATTTTTGACATGTGGTACATTTGATACATCTACTGTGCGCTCAAATTATTTACAAACTCTCTCTCTCCTTCGGCTCGAGTTTGTATATCAGATACAACACGGCTGCTCATGTTGTAAATAGTATCTAATGTATATATTTAGATATTAATATCTAATCTGTGATATTACTGACCTTCAGCTGATGAGTCTTCAGACGCGTTTGCATTTGTGGCGACGTCATCGTAAAACTCTTGATCAACTCTTGCGATAGTTTCGTTACCGCCACCCTGATGTTCATTTTCGACTGATGTTTCGTACCCAGACGTCTTGTCTGCATATGATGGTACTCCAACCCAATGGTGAAGTAATGCCCGGCCTTTAAAGAAAAGACGATTATAAAGCCCTGCATGCTGGTAAAACGAGAACAGGAGGTTCTGACAGTTGATGAGAGTTGACTGGATATTAGCGCGCGTATAGAAAAAACTCTCATCAAAATTTGAACCAGCTCAAAGTTGAAAAGTTGACGGTAAAACACGAGCGAGAGTTTCAACTTTCATAACCTCTTATCAGTGAACACAATTATCAAGATTCGATTCTTTTCAAGTCTTTTTTTCTTGTCTTTTATAAATGCACTTAGAAAACATTTTATAGGAACTGATGCGAACATGGATTCTTTTAGTGTAAATATGTAAAATTTACTCACCAGTATATTTTACTCTATTCTATTCTATGCTAACTGCAGCATTTATAATTTTAGGATAGTAATATAATATGCAATTGGATAGAATATTTTAGGACGGCCACTGGTTTGTCAGCATTAACTGTTATGTGTTAACCTCACGAAACAAAGTTGTTTATTATTATTACTAGGAGTAACCACAGGTTAAAAGTGCGACCAATGTATATTGCACCACACTCCATAACGATATAAAAATTCTCGTTTTCTAGATGTGTCACAACAAGTATATAAATAACCTAAGTATATACACTGGTATATACAACGCGTTGATATTAAAATGACATTGACAAGTAACACAAGTAACAATATAATTATATTATGTTGTGTTGTGTTGTGTTGTGTTGTGTTGTGTTATGTTATGTTATGTTATGTTATATTGACTTTATTTCGGTGCAAAAAATATCATTTTGAATACTAGCTGAAATCTGTATTCAGAATTTGAACCAGCTGAACACTGATGAGAGTTAACTGGATATTACCAAGCGTAACAAAAACTCTCATGAACTCTACTCAAAATTTGAACCAGCTGAACACTGATGAGAATTAACTGGATATTACCAAGCGTAGCAAAAACTCTCATGAACTCTACTCAAAATTTGAACCAGCTGAACACTGATGAGAGTTAACTGGATATTACCAAGCGTAGCAAAAACTCTCATGAACTCTACTCAAAATTTGAACCAGCTGAAAAATGATGAGAGTTAACTGGATATTACCAAGCGTAGCAAAAGCTCTCATGAACTCTACTCAAAATTTGAATCAGCTCAATTGATGAGAGTGCACGAGAGTCGACAAGAGTTGGCGGGAAAACACGAGCGAGAGTTTCAACCTTCATTGCCTCTTATTAACTCTCATCTTCGTTCTACAGCTGTGAAAACAATTATCAAGACAGGTTTCTTTTCGACCAAGATATTTTACATTTCTTTTTAGAATGAGCAAATATTACACATACCAAGTTTAGTTGAATTTTAAACATATTACCATATAGGTTACATATTATCTAATCTGTAATATTACAGACTGTTACGAGCCGGTCCCTACTATTTTGTCTGGCCGCTCTGGTTCTGTTTACTCACAACAAAAGAATGTAAATCTAAGCATTTTACTTTTTGATATATATATTTTATACTGAAACAACAGTTATATTAGGCTATATGATAATATGGTTAATTAGGCTATATGTTAAAACTTATCTGTCCGAGTGAGCATTGCAACTTGATAGCAAGGTTCAACAGTTCAAGTGTAATTCGTAATAAATCAGTTACCACAAGATATCCATGTTGTCTTCTTTCCACGTTAATATCAACGCGTTAAAGCAGCTTCGTCTTCAGCCTTGAGAGTTGAGTCTCGTTCCTTTTCTTAGTCCTTGCTCATTGCTAATCCTAATGCTAATCATAATGCTAATAATAATAATGTTCACTGATGCGTGAAGCTACTTTTATAGAGTGAGTCAGAGGATGATTTTGTCATTTTGACGCATTTCCTATACGCAATGCTGTGGTCGTTGGTAGAAAGTTCTCTAACCACATTCATGTCCGTTGACGTTATTTGTGGACAAGGCGTTTTCTTTAACCTTTAGAGCTATTTGCTTACTCATGCATGTAAGCTATTTAATATGAATAAGTATAAGCTATATAGTATAATAATAATCGTATAATATTTAATATATGTAAAATTACATGATAATAGCTATCATGTAACACTGACCTTCAGCTGTTATGTCTTCAGACTCGTTTGCATTTGTGGCGACGTCTTCGCAAAACCGTCGATCGACGTTCGGGCCAGTTTCGTAAACTGCTTCCTGTTTTTTTTATAAGAATGATTATGATTTATTTAATGACGATTACACACAGGTTGTGGTTGTCCAATTTACCCGAGTCAGAGGATCGCGATACACGTGCCTCACAACTAATTTCTAAGAGTTGTTTTTTTATGACACAAACTGGAAGACACGGAGAATAACCCTCGAAGTTCGAGTACAAACTAAAGTAACTTTACTTGATACTGTAGTTCTAACAGTTCTAGAGGTTCAGTGAGGCTCATCTGTTATTCGTCCAGTGTTACTACAGGAGGAAACTTAAACTAAAACTATATTTATATTGGATAACTCCATCAGTTCGAAACTGTTCTTCCTATAGAGGTCCAGTAAGAGTCATCTCTTATTGATCCAGTGTTACTACAGAAAGAAATCTAAACCAAACTAACTTTTTTATATTAATTGGATAGCGCTATCAGTTCGAAACTGTTCTTCCTAGAGGTCCATATATAATAACCATTCACTGTGTCACCAACACCGTGACCATAAATAATTTACCTCATCAACTGGCAATGGTTCTGGTGAAGTTTCATTCGTCTCCAATGGAATATTGACAGGAGATGATAAATTTAGAGCCCGTTTCAGTCGTTTGTATTTTATCAATAAGACGATAAGCACAATGCTAAGAAATACGCCAAAACCTAGTGTTGTTGCAATGATAATGATTTTGCTGGAATCATCCGTTGTTCCCTTGTCTGAAGAAAAATAGATTTTTAAAATTCTTATTTGCATAGGATAAATTGAATCCAAATTGATTATGTGAAAACAAAGTATAAAAACTAAGTTATTTAAGCCTGTGGCGAAGGTTGAGGACCGGGTATTGTTGCTTGATGGGCGATCCTGATCCCAAATTTTTTTGTTATCTCACGAACTATTGAACCAATCGAGCTGAAACTCAGCGCGTTGTGCTCAGCAGGTTGCGTTTGACCGTATAGCATTATTTGCAGCAATGTGCAAAAATAAGTTTTTTCCCACATTTTGTCATATCTCACGAACTATTGAACCAATTGAGCTGCAACTCAGCGCGTTGTGCTCAGCAGGTTGCGTTTGACCGAATAGCACTATTTGCAGCAATGTGCTAAAATAAGTTTTTTCCAACATTTTGTCATATCTCACGAACTATTGAACCAATCGAGCTGAAACTCAGCGCGTTGTGCTTAGCAGGTTGCGTTTGACCGAATATCATTATTTGCAGCAATGTGCAAAAACAAGTTTTTTCCCACATTTTTTTGTTATCTCACGAACTATTGAACCAATCGAGCTGAAACTCAGCGCGTTGTGCTCAGCAGGTTGCGTTTGACCGAATAGCACCATTTGCTGCAATGTGCAAAAATAAGTTTTTTCCAACATTTTGTCATATCTCACGAACTATTGAACCAATCGAGCTGAAACTCAGCGCGTTGTGCTTAGCAGGTTGCGTTTGACCGAATAGCACTATTTGCTGCAATGTGCAAAAATAAGTTTTTTCCAACATTTTGTCATATCTCACGAACTATTTAACCAATCGAGCTGAAACTCAGCGCGTTGTGCTCAGCAGGTTGCGTTTGAGCGAATAGCACTATTTGCAGCAATATGTAAAAATAAGTTTTTGCCAACATTTTGTCATATCTCACGAACTATTGAACCAATCGAGCTGAAACTCAGCGCGTTGTGCTCAGCATGTTGCGTTTGACCGAATAGCACTATTTGCGGCAATGTGCAAAAATAAGTTTTTTCCAACATTTTGTCATATCTCACGAACTATTGAACCAATCGAGCTGAAACTCAGCGCGTTGTGCTCAGCAGGTTGCGCTTGACCGAATAGCACTATTTGCAGCAATGTGCAAAAACAAGTTTTTGCCAACATTTTGTCATACTCACGAACTATTGAACCAATCGAGCTGAAACTCAGCGCGTTGTGCTCAGCAGGTTGCGTTTGACCGAATAGCACTATTTGCAGCAATGTGCAAAAATAAGTTTTTTCCAACATTTTGTCATATCTCACGAACTATTGAACCAATCGAGCTGAAACTCAGCGCGTTGTGCTTAGCAGATTGCGTTTGACCGAATATCATTATTTGCAGCAATGTGCAAAAACAAGTTTTTTCCCACATTTTTTTGTTATCTCACGAACTATTGAACCAATCGAGCTGAAACTCAGCGCGTTGTGCTCAGCAGGTTGCGTTTGACCGAATAGCACTATTTGCAGCAATGTGCAAAAATAAGTTTTTTCCAACATTTTGTCATATCTCACGAAATATTGAACCAATGGAGCTGAAACTCAGCGCGTTCTGCTCAGCAGGTTGAGTTTGACCGAATAGCACTATTTGCAGCAATGTGCAAAAAAAAGTTTTTTCCCACATTTTTTTGTTATCTCACGAACTATTGAACCAATCGAGCTGAAACTCAGCGCGTTGTGCTCAGCAGGTTGCGTTTGACCGAATAGCACTATTTGCAGCAATGTGCAAAAATAAGTTTTTTCCAACAGTTTTGTCATATCTCACGAACTATTGAACCAATCGAGCTGAAACTCAGCGTTGTGCTCAGCAGGTTGCGTTTGACCGAATAGCACTATTTGCAGCATTGTACAAAAATAAGTTTTTTCCAACATTTTGTCATATCTCACGAACTATTGAACCAATCGAGCTGAAACTCAGCGCGTTGTCCTCAGCAGGTTGCGTTTGACCGAATAGCATTATTTGCAGCAATGTGCAAAAATAAGTTTTTGCCAACATTTTGTCATATCTCACGAACTATTGAACCAATCGAGCTGCAACTCAGCGCGTTGTGCTCATCAGGTTGCGTTTGACCGAATAGCACTATTTGCAGCAATGTTCAAAAATAAGTTTTTTCCAACATTTTGTCATATCTCACGAACTATTGAACCAATCGAGCTGAAACTAAGCGCGTTGTGCTCAGCAGGTCGCGTTTGAGCGAATAGCGCTATTTGCTGCAATATGCAAAAATAAGTTTTTTCCAACATTTTGTCATATCTCACGAACTATTGAACCAAATCGAGCTGAAACTCAGCTCGTTGTGCTCAGCAGGTTGCGTTTGACCGAATAGCATTATTTGCAGCAATGTGCAAAAATAAGTTTTTTCCCACATTTTGTCATATCTCACGAACTATTGAACCAATCGAGCTGAAACTCAGCGCGTTGTGCTCAGCAGATTGCGTTTGACCGAATAGCACTATTTGCAGCAATGTGCAAAAATAAGTTTTTTCCAACATTTTCTCATATCTCACGAACTATTGAACCAATTGTGCTGAAAACCGGCGCGTTGTGTTCAGCAGGTTGCGTTTGACCGAATAGCACTATTTGCAGCAATGTGCAAAAATAAGTTTTTTCCAACATTTTGTCATATCTCACGAACTATTGAACCAATGGAGCTGAAATTCAGCGCGTTGTGCTCAGCAGGTTGCGTTTGACCGAATAGCACTATTTGCAGCAATGTGCAAAAATAAGTTTTTTCCAACAGTTTTGTCATATCTCACGAACTATTGAACCAATCGAGCTGAAACTCAGCGTGTTCTGCTCAGCAGGTTGCGTTTGACCGAATAGCATTATTAGCAGCAATGTGCAAAAATAAGTTTTTTCCAACATTTTGTCATATCTCACGAACTATTGAACCAATCGAGCAGAAACTCAGCGCGTTGTGCTCAGCAGATTGCGCTTGACCGAATAGCACTATTTGCAGCAATGTGCAAAAATAAGTTTTTTCCAACATTTTGTCATATCTCACGAACTATTGAACCAATCGAGCTGAAAGTCAGCGCGTTGTGCTCAGCAGGTTGCGTTTGATCGAATAGCACTATTTGCTGCAATGTGCAAAAATAAAGTTTTTCCAACATTTTGTCATATCTCACGAACTATTGAACCAATCGAGCTG